TTCTTGTTTAGACATATATTTTCAACTGATAATTTTGCATAACAAATTTCGTGAGTCGCAGTTAGTCTAAGGATAGTCAAGGTCGATGAATCAAGTGCTGCTGCTGCCGCTGCTAGAAGAAGAAACAAAGGAATTTCACTGATTTCCGCCTAGAGTAAATGTAGTCCAAAGAAGGAGTATTTGTAGTTGAGATCGCCGACAGCTCCGCAGCAACAGGGCGCCGCAGTCCTGCAGGGGCCACAGGGACCCGCGCATCGTGTTCGATAGCAGCAGTAGCTGCAATCGACTAGGCAGCACTGGACACAGGGTGTCTCCCGGTAGTAGCGGCTTTGGCAGCACATGATGGCCCACACCCTGCAGATGGAATCAACGAAATATATATTCTCGAAGCGAATTATCTTTTCTAACTACTTACTAAAGGACTAAGTTTGGTTGCGATTTATCAGAAATGAAGCCAAACCTATCGACTCCAGGTGTTGCTTGAAACTGAAATATATTAGAGCCATGTGAGGCATGTTTATGTGTGTTAAAGCAAGGCCTATTGAAACACAGTTTATGTATGTGGTTATGTTTCAGCTTTAAGTCTTAAAGACAATGTGTATCAATGACACTCAATACAATTATATATCTAGGACTAGCAGGTCTTGCAGTTGGTTTAAAATATAGCCAATTCGCGCATAGATATGAAGCTTCGCATTGTTCACTAAAGTTAGGGTATATGGATATGAGTTTGATATGAACATTTGTGGATTCGCACATACATAGATACGCACATATACATGTCTATATACATATACTTAAGATCAGTTTATATACAAATAACGCGTAATCTTAGAGGTTTATCTAATGATACCACCACCAGTTAAGTTGTTTTTTCTAGACGAGTTTAATCTTCGTCATTTTTCATCAACCCACGCCAACATTTGTCACTCCCCCAATTTTGTCTAAAGTTCACAGAACCGCCAAAAAATAAAGCCCAATAATAAACTGAACAATTGTTAGAAATAAATCGTATAAGAAAACACTCAAGCCGAGTAATTTCGATGTTTGAATTAGAATCGAAACAGGCCTTGAAAACGAGCTTCAATTTTTGGCTAGGCAGGAACGAATCTGGTTGAGATCTTCAGATTTGGTTCAAAATTCGTGTAGTAAGCACATAAAAAGTTTTGTAAAAAACTTACATTATTTTTTTGTTAGGTGTTCTCCTCCTAAAAGCCGCTCAGCACACACAAAAGCTATAACCAAATTTCAACGAATAATATATTCTGATATTGCCCGAAGAACTTTAATTTCACCTATCTTTTAAACGTAAGTATTAACTGTGAATGCGAGAGGAGTCTTAGCAGAGTTGATATCGCAGAATGTGCTGTGGTCCGGCTGGATGGTGTTCATTCTGTGGCCCGCCGTGTGGCGGACCCTGTTGTCAATCCTGTTGCGTTGAGATGTGTTTCTCGCCCTGCACCCCGGCGTTTTTGCAATGCTCCTTCTGCTGTGGCTGTTGAACGACGGCAGACCTGATGGCCCCTGGCGTCGGCTGTTGACTGCCGAGGAGCCAATGGATCAATCTGTTCCACCGTCTGCTTCGATCAACAAGAATAATGCAGCATTTCAAAAATGTAACAAAAAAATAATGTAAACCAAAAAAAAAAAAAAAAAAAAAAACTTTCTTGCGCTTGTAATAAACACGAAGTTCATATTGATAAAAGCACGAGTTGGTAACATTTTTAATTGTGTTTTATACACTTTTCACACTTCGGAAGTACCCTCAACTCGAGAAATTGCGTTTACTTCAATCGTCCCGCATCATCCGGGATATCATAGATTCGACAATTATTACTTATTTGTATCCTTAAATCGTTTTATGAACCATAATCACTAGCTAAAGAGAAGTTCAGGACAAAACATTTTTCAATATCATTTTTCAAGTGCACTTCCTGCTTATTTATTGGCTCACACAATTAATGTTTCCATATTTTCACTAATTTTTAACATAGTTCGTACGATATAATTTTTAAAATAATCTAAACGGGTTTGTGTTTAGCATTTCTGCTAATTCATTTTGTTGTGTGTGGAACGGGGTTGGGTTTAAGATAAACAGCCGGCAATTGTGTATTGTAAAACTCAGTTTCGAAATGCTATACCCCCAAGGTATCCGAATAGATTGAGAGTTCGCTGGACTCCCAAGCCCAAGTAATCCTTGATGGTATGGCTTAAAGTCTTCAATGACCTCTTTATTTTCGACATGGCTGTACAACTAAACAAAAAAGGAAATGAATGATTGGTTATAAACTTAGTGTATTTTAAAATAAATATCCACATACGAACCACTCAATTGCCGGCACCCAGAGAAATTTGAAAATTTAATGTTACTTCATATTATCCCTAAAATGGAATGAGGCAGATTTAGGTGAACTCGGCTTAGAACAATGTAAAAGCAAGGCCTACTTGGCTTTAAATATTATTTCGGGATTGAGACAGCTGAACAATGACTATGCTGTGACCTTTGCTCCATTCGTCAGCGGACTCCAGTGTCGGTAGTCCACCTGTGTGGCAGCTTCGTACTCCTGCACCAGGCAGTCAACCGTGTCGCGGGCTGAATCCAGCTCGGTCAAATCGTCCTGGAACATAGGCTCACGGCGAAACTGATCCAGAAAGGCATTGCGCTTCTTCAGCTTATCATACTGGGCCAATGCACGATTGAAGAGAGCACTCACGCCCGTATGATTGGCCATCATAAGGCCGGATACTTTGTGCGCCGTCTGAACGTAGGGCGAGCTGCGCGACAGTGCCACCTGAATGCTAGCCGGACCCCACGGTATAAACTGGGCTAATTTGCGCTCGCGTATGCGCTGCAACGACTTGTGCACCTGCGTGGGATCCACCTCGCCCTGTATTATGTTCAGTATGGAGATGTAACAGTGCCGCTTGTCGGCGGTCGAGGAGACCATCATATTCTTCGGCTGCAGCAGGCGGCGCATCACGTCGAGAACTGTTGTCTTGCGCACATTGGTCTTCGTCTGCCATTGGTCAAAACGCTCAATGATAGTTGAAAATCAATCTTCATTCTAATTCATTTACATTCTCACCTCATAATCTGTGATCAGTGGAGTATAGCCCGTCATAAGAAAGTGAAGCTGGGGCGTAGGAATTAACGGGGCTGTGAGCCCAATCAGATTATTGTTCATGTAGGAGGGATAGCGCAAGGTAGTGGTGCTGACGCTCATGATCGTAGACACCAGATTGTTGATCTGGGTGAAGGTAGGTGTTTGTATGTGCAGACGCTCAGTGGCAATGCGATTCAGGGCCGTGTTGTCCAGCACCACGACACAGTCGGCGCACTTTGTAAGCCGCTTTAGGGTGAGTATTGAGTTGTAGGGCTGCACAACAACGTCGCTAATCTCGTCCTGGTTGGGAAAGACACTGTACGTTTGGATGAGCTTCTTTGGAAAACGATCGGACAGGCGCTCAAGCACGTATGAACCCATGCCAGAGCCTGTTCCGCCGGCTATGGAGTGACAGAGCACAAATCCTTCAAGTGAATCGCTGCCATCGGCCTCACGATCAAGTATGTCAAACACCTCCTCCTGCACCTTTTCGCCTTGGCTAAAGCCAGAAGCCCAGTTATTTCCAGCGCCGCCGCCATGCTTGGACAAGTAAACGTTCTCCGGATTATAGAGCTGAGAATTCGAACAATTTAAATTGATTTCATATGTAATTAATTTCGATTTATGTATGTATGTATATACATATGTATGTATCTACCTTTGCATACGGGGAGCTCATTATATTGTGAATGACCCGGGGCTCCAGGTCCAGCAAGACAGCACGAGGTATATAATGGTTGTCATCTGCCTGATAGAAGAAGACATCTTTGCGATCGTGTCCATCGGCCGCAAAGTCTTCGAGCACCCCATCCGGGGAAATGCCATGCTCCAGGCAAAGGCGTTTCCAAAACTCAAAGCCAACTTTTGGGTAAGCATATGAAAATTACCACCTTAGATAAGTTTATAAATAACTTACTCTGATTGCCGCATTGGCCTAATTGTAGTGTAATTATTTCACTTGGCATTATCAGTAATTTTTTAATTTTGTAAAATGTTACGCAACATATTAAATATAACGGTGCTGGGCGCCATGTCTTTAAAGATATTTAAGGTGGCGTTGCCACATAGTTAAATATGTATATATGGTCACCCTGCACAGCTGATTGTCGCGTTGCCAACTTTCGGTAATGTTTATTGATTTCTTGAGTGCTTCGCTGAAAATTGAAGATGCTGTAAAGGCGACAATATTTTGAAAATAAATAAATTAAAGTTACCATGCTGCGGCAAGAGAACTTGGCCGCAAATTTCTGCGGGCTTTTGGCGGCTCAGGGCTACAAAGGCAAGTGTTGCAGTTGGCAGAGAAAGTATTGGAACCAATCCAAATAATTTTGTCACATTTTCGCATGCAGAAAAGGCGAACGAATGGCGCATTTTGGGCCAGGAGCAGGACGGGTCGCTTCTAACCTCATGGATATTCGAATATATGGACGAACCGAATAAGCGGGAAACCTGCATTGGCCACTTCCATGCCACCAAGAAGCAGGTACGCGTGCTCTGGACCCTGCCCGGCTGCGTGGAAATCATCCAGGCGAGCATCAATAGCAGCATTACCTTGTTGTCCTATGTGGTTAAAGCGTCGCTGCGCTATCAGGCCTATATTGTGGAGGTGCGCAGCAGCGAGGGCGGGACGCCCACATGCCTCACGGCCGAGCCGTCGACTCGGCAGATTATGACCCAGTTCCTTTGGCGAGTGGAGAGCGCCACGCGCACCTGCTGGCAGGACAAACTCTTGGTGCTCACACACGAGGACTGTAAGTAGTCAGTAAGTCAGTAAGTGCGATATTCTTGACTTAATAAACCACTCATTCAGCTATTAAGCAGTACAGCTGCACCGTCAAACAAAGCTCAACAGCCTCACAAACCGGTTGTGTGGAGGGCAGCGCCTGGCGCCTGGACGTCAGCATATTAACCCATGAGACGCTGGCCAAGAACTTCAGCTGGGCGCAGTGGGATGCAGAGTGCCAAGCACTCTACTACATACACCTCAAGCCGAAGGCCGTTAGTCTCAGCTTGCTGGACGAGCGGGAGCAGACGGGCGAACAGGCGGCGCCGGTGCTCAGTCCCACTCTGTCAGCATTTCAGTTTAACGAGAAGCAGCCCACGGAAACGGTTGTAAGTGAGATCGAATGGACAGTGAAATGGAGCTTGCATTGAGATTTATAATTTCCATTTTCGCTAGCTCAACATTCCGCTAAATTTGCCGAAACTTCCCGCGAATGCTGCAGAGGAGCCACCGAGCTACGATGACGACGCTGTGCCACTGCGCGTGCACGACAGCTCACTGAATCTGATCATCCTGGCCGATAGCTCGGGCATGTTCTTCGTGTGCCACTATTATCTGTACCAGCCCATGCAGCCACAGCATGCGCAGGAAAACAAGGCAACTAAGCAGCAGCAGCAGCAGCAGGATGTGCACTTTGCCTACTCCGTGTCGCTGTTGCACCACGGATGTGTGGTGCACTGCGTCATGCCGGGCGTGCCCTGGCACAAGGCGCGCCTGCTGCGTCCCACCTTTGCGCTGCAGGGCTCGCATCATCTGTTGGTCTCATCTGCAATCTTTGTGCACCTGCTGGATGTGGGCCTGCACCACGAGCCCACGTGCCACATTGTGTGCCCGGCCGTAGTCAATCGAGGTCCCGATGTCACTCACCTGGTGCCGCTGCGCAAGTGGGGCGCACTAGCCTTCGATGCCGCCACCTTAGACCTGGTCTCGCTGAGTGTGCCAAAGGCGCATCTGATTGAAACATTCCGAAATGATACCTCGCTCGACAACCGCATCAGCATCATCCACTACTTCCTGATCCATTCCACTGACATGGATGTTCTGGCCGAGTTGCTGAGCAGCATATTGGAGCGCCCCCTTTCGCTGGACACCGTTGCGCTGCTTAAAGAGGCGCTCATTGCCGGCAGCTATGCAGCAGCAGTGCGCGGTCTGCCCGAGGAGGCAAAGCCGCTGATGCGGCTGCTCCCGCTGACCACGGCGATTGCCACGCGACCCATTCAAGCGCGCGTCGCAGACATCAACGTGGGCATATCGCACGAGGCGCTGCATAATACAAGCATGATGTTATTGTCGCCGCAGCAGCGCTTGTCTCCTTATCGCACTGACATCTGGACGCGGCTGTGGGAGCTACTGAATGAGTCTGCCAAGCAGGAGCAGCCGCGCTTCGCAGCCGAGCAGGTGACGGAGAAACTGATCTTTAGTCTGGCCTGCTACCAGCCGGAGGCACTTTCCCGCTGCACGACGCCCATGACGCCGGACGCAGGCAGTGGCGGCTTTGGCGACTACAGCAGCGGCAGCGCATTTCCCTTCAGCAACGAAGTGCTGCCGTTCATTGAGCTCGAGGGCTGCACGGCCAGCAAGCAGGAGCACGTCCTTTCCGTTGTACGTTAAAGCAGGAATTTAGCTTTAAGGAATTTCCATATGTATTATATCCTTTCTTTCAGTATTTGCGAGAGCTCAGCGTGCATTTGGTGAAGCATTCGTCAAAGCCGCATTCGGGCTTCCGCTGGCTAAAGGAAACCTTTTTCGAGCGCTCGCAGGCTCCAGCCCATGTTCATGCAGTTGCTTCCCAATTCGTTTCCGCTCAGCTGGAGCTGTCCCGTGCGCTGTGCTCGCTGGTTTGCCGGGCGGCCGGCTTGGATGCGCGCCTGGAGACACTGCGTGGCTTTCAACTGATGTGGGTTTTATATTTATATAAATGTTTTGCATATATAAAATTCCACTCTATGTTCCCTAGTGACCAGATGTCCAGCAATCAACAGCACTCGCTGTTCCTGATACTTGAACGTTATTGTTTGGCCGTGGAGTCGATTGCGTTCCCGCTGCCTGAAGGCTTCGCGTCGTTCTTCACGTACTTGGGCTATCGCGCGCTGGACTATGACATGTTTTTGCAATACGTGGAGAATCATGTGTTTGAGCTGCAAGTGGATGTCATGAAGGCAATTGTTTTCGGTGTGTATACTCAGTTCGATTCTCTCGCTCATTATGAGAATGGTCCCATTGTGTTCCTTGCAGATATCGAGGACACGCCGCAGGGCATCGAGCGTAAGCTGTCGCTGCTCTCGGCTCTGCCTAAGCAGCGTGCTCAGCGTTTGCTAAAATGCTGGCAGCATCCAGAGAGTCTTATGATACGCGGTCGAGAGCATGCCGCCAATATCTTATCAGGTCAGCATCAGGAGCCGGCACAGCGGCGCGGATCTGGTGGCGTTTCACAGTCGCGAATGCATGCCAGAACTGGTAGGAAGCAACTTTATATTCTTGATCATTTGTGACACTTAGCTTAACGCATTTTCATTTGCACTCTGTCATCCAACACCCGGTCTAGCACTGGGCAAGCCCCCCACCATCATTTGTCACTCGTTGCTTTTGGGTTTTTTGCTTATCATTTTAACCACAGCCATTTTAAGCATTGCGCGCTTCGTGCTTGTGCAGCGATCTGCCATTTGGTAATCACATAGTTATCCCCAACTGCCGATCATCTTCTGGTTGGTAAGCAGCGCACCTGTTTGTGTCTGTCAGTCTGTGGATTTGTCGTTGAATGTATTTACTGAATGGCTTCTATGATTGTTTCAATTCAATTTTATTTGTTATTTTCTTTGTAGATCTCACGGCTGAAACGTTGTCTCCGCTGGACTCCTTCTTGGACCTGCTCACGGCTAAGGCGAGCCTCAACGAATTGGACTACAATTTGTTGATAGAAACGACGCTGAGCTCCATTGAACAGCTAACAGTCAAAGAATAGTCATTTAAGGCAATAATCGTATTATTCATGTAGGCC